CCCAGAACCCCTGTCTCAGCATCGCCTACCAGGAGTTTATTAAAAATGCATATTCGTGTTGCTGCAGCTCTCTGACCTACCTCTTGGGTGGGACCCAGAGATATAAGTTTCAACAAGTCTCTGGGATGACTCTGATGTTCAGTCAAGTTTGAGCACAGTTCAAAGGGCAATGGGTAGCCATCCGGGGTCTGGCTAGGCTGTTGTAAGATGGACCTGGGCTGTCCTTCAGGTTGGGGCACCCCGGGCTTGGTTCTGCCCGCATCCTCTTCCAGCTACCCCATGCCCTCCCTCCCTTGCCTGCCCAGCCAGCTCCGGCCAGCTACCCTCTGTAGGGTCCCAGGGTCAGGGGCCACAGAGGGGCAGCGCTGCTGCAACCAGGCCCACATTCCTCCCACTTCCCGCCATTGTCCCGGGTTCCGGTGGCCGTGTCTTCACACTCGCCCTGGGCCGCCCCACGGCCTCGGGGAGGTGACTCATTTCCTTTCTCCCCAGTGACATAACCCTGCGCCCAGCAAGGCCAGCCGGGACCCCCTCCCTGGCCGGCTTTCCACGCGGGCACTGCGCGGCGCTTCTAGGCCCGCAGGGGGCGCCAGAGTCCGCAGCGTCTTCCCTGGCCTCCCGGCAGCTGGATTCCCTCCGCCGCCTGGACCCACCTCCTCGTGAGGAGGGAGGGAAGCCGAGGATGGCCTCTGACTTGGCTCTTCCCCACTCGCTGCATGGTTTGCCTGGGGTCAGACCCCTGACGCTCACGGATGGGGAAACTGAGACCGGGGGAGGGGGGTGGTCGGGGCGGGGGGTAGCAGAGGTGTGCCTTGACCAAGGCAGCGCAGCCCACCCTGGGAAGTGAGGGGACTTGAATCTAGCATTCTTGCCACCCTCTCCGCCCCTTCTCCGTCCCCCCCCCACCCCCGCCCTGGGGTGGTTTTCCCACAGACCCACAGGTGTTAATTTTATCCTCCTTGTCCCCACCCCCCACCCTGGTGTTTCCAGTACAAAGTGTGCAGACAGGATGCCCGATTTTGGTCATTTGTGGGCTCTGAAACTTGGTCACCCCTGGAACCAGCAGGAGCTGAGGGCAGCTAGGGCTCCACATGGGAAGCAAGTGGAGTCTGCAGTTACGGGGTGGCGCCCCCATTCCCAGCGCTGCCCACCCCCACCCCCAGCCCGGACCTGACTGGCTTTGTCATAGGTGCCTCTCCCTGGCTCCTCTGCACACAGCGCCTGCACCCCTGAACCCTGTCCTCTCCTCTCGGCTTTCCCTCACGGTTTCAGGGAGGCAGGAAAACTCACTCCAGTCTCTGCATTTCAGAGATTTCACAACATCCGGAGCCACCTAAGGGTGCGTTCCTTTAGGACACCGGGAAAGAGTAATGTCACGGCCACACCGTGAGCTGGGGATCAGACCACACCTGTCCTACCTCAGACCTTTTCACTTCCTCCCACGCTGCCCAAATAACATAACGAATGCAAAATGCAGGGCCCAGTGCCTGACACGGTGAAAGAACTCAATAATTGGTGGTTATTATTGTTACTCAGCAAGTTACCTAACTTCTTGGTTCCTCAGTTTCTTCATCTGTAAATTGGGCGTAGTAATAGCATACCTCAGAGAGTTCTTGTGAGGCTTAAATGAGCTCATATATAGAAGGTGCTTATATCGGTGCCTGGTGTCTGATAACGCCCAATAGCCTTCCAGAACTTGGGCTCCATGAAGACAGGGATTCTTTTCCTTTGTGCACTGCCATATCTCAAGCACCTAGAACACTGTCGGGTACAAAGTAGGAAACTAATCAATACTTGTTGAATGAATAAGTGTTAGCTATGATGATTATTGCTGAGGCTGATTTTCTGTAGGAGTGAGGCTTATCAGAGCAGACCTAGAAGACCAGAGGGGAAGATTCTTTAGGGTCTATTTGCAGAAGGGATAAAGGGCTAAGGAAAGAGAGTTGAAGAACATAAGAGAGGCTCAAGGCCAGAGCAAGAAGAAGAAGGTGACGCTGGGGAGAGGATCCTTGGTGTTCGCACCTGAGTCCCAGGAGCACTGTATAGAGTGGACAATTTCATGAATGTGCTGAGAAGGAGCGTGAGCACAGTTGATCAGTGGCGGCTTTATGACAATCTGGTGGTTTCACACCTGCTATGGACACTGAGGATTTGGTTTTTTTAAAGTCAGCCTTTTTAATGGGGGTGGTTGAAGTCCTGGGAAGCACACCTCCAAAGGCAGAGCATCTGTGAGACACCTGCTGGGCACACCCAGGAAGGTCTACAGGAACTGCTGGGGACAGAGCCAGAAAAAGCCGATTGCTGTAATGTGTGGCCCTGTTTCTATCAATGGACTGATGTGGGTTTGGAGGACTTGGGTAACACCCGTTTAGAAGGGAAGCCCTGTCAAGGCCCCCATAGTGGTGAGTGGGCTTGCTGTACCTGGAAGTGTTCGAACAGGGGAGGGATTACCAATCTGGGGGAGTTGTCTCATGGAGGACCACCAAAGGAGGAGAGCTTGGGCGAGATGGACCTCAAGGTTGCTGCTCTGAAGCATAAATAGCAAGGCAGAGGGCATCTCTGAGACTTCCCGTTCCTGGCTTTGCCACCATGGTGCCCTGGGAGCAGAAGCTCACGGGAAGTAAAGCTTGTTCCTAAGCATTCTGGGACTTGTTCCTCACTTGTCTGCACTTCCTCTTGAGGGGCAGGATAGCTTTGACCTAACCCTGCCCTCCTATCTAGTGGATTGACTGCCCCTTGATGAGACAGTGAGTTATAGTGGAATGAGCCTCGCAGGTTCTGGACTCAACCAGACCTGGGTTCACATCCCACCTCCACCATTTCCTCATCAGTTCTTTTACTCCTCTGAACCTATAGCTGAATTTCTTCAGTTAAAACGTGAGAATGAAAATATCTACTTCTCAGAGTTGTTGCAAGATGACGTGTGTGCAATGCCTGGCATAGAATAGGAGCTTCAAGAACGTCCATTCACCCTGACTTGCTTCAGCTCAGGGACCAGGCTGTGCCTTCCTGGGAGAGATGAATGCATACCTGAAAAGGCTGTTGAATGTTGAAAAGGGCCAGGTGGCATCTTGGGCAACTCCCTTAACTTCTTCAGTCCCAGTTTATTCACCTTTAATATGAGAAAAGTGGGGAAGGGATTTTCAAACACCACAAGCCCTCCTTTGCTGCCAGTCCTGTAGACTAACCTAGAAGAGGAAGGACTTTGTAAACCATGAATGCTGTAGGTCATATTTAGCTTTAACTTTCCCAACTAGTTTGGTCTTTCTACCCCTTGCAGCCTCAGCCCTGCCTGGATTTCTAGCATGCCGGCAGTGGTGGGAGGATGTGGGTTTTGGCATCTTGCAAAACTCCGTTTGAATCCCAGCTCCTCCGTTTTGCTTTCTTTGTGACATTGAGAAAGTCTCTGAGTCACAGTTTGCTAACCTCAGAGTAAAAACAATGACAGCTACTCTGTAGGGCTGTTGGGAGAGTTGAATGGGAATGCATACGCAAGGTTTGCACTTACATATTTGGTGCTTAATAAATGGTAATTAATATTAAAGTGCCTAGAATGGTGCCTGACACATAGAAAACACTATATAAATGTTTACTAAATAACCAGAATTGTAGACAGATTAAAACAGACCAATGCAAATAGATGAATAAATAGATGCAAATATAAATAGATGCATAAATAAAAAGAGCAGCTAGAGTGAGCTCTTTCCTTCCTACACCTCCCAGTCTTCTTCTGAAAACTTCTCTGCCGGCCTCCTTCCTTCTCAGTTCTGGCCCTGACTTCCGCTGGCCGTGCCAAGGAAGTCAAGGTTCGGATACTATAAAAGATGGCTCTTATTCACAAAAAAGTTGAAGCTATTGAAAGAGATGACTCCAAAGTTCGTTTCAGCTCAAACCACCCATCCAACTGTCATCACTGGAGACCCCTCCTTTGTGATAGCATCTTTTAAGATATTTACTCGCATAAACGCTTACTTGTATTCTCCCAACAGCCCACGAAGGGGTGGTAAGGATAAAGATTAGTCACTCAGTTTCACAAAGGGAAATGGAAGGACATGGACAATGCTGGGGTTTTCCTGTCCAAGTCCCAGTCAGCCAGCCTTGAGCCATGAGGTCATATGATAATTATCACCATTATGTATTGGATGGCCCCTGTGTGCCAAGGACTGACGCACCTTAGCTAGTGTCAGTAAGCCCATTCGGCCGGCATTGAATTCTCATTTTACAGCTGAGAAAACTGAGGTCGGATGGGTGAAGCGACTCAAGCTCATGTAGCCAGTAACTTCCAAGTGGGGATTCCAGATGCAGGTCTGAGGACCCCAAAGCCATTGCCAGTAGACTCCGGTGTCTTGACACTCTCTGCCGGGGGAGCTAGGCCTGGTACCTCTCCTGGGCAGGGTTCAGGCCAGACACCATCACTAGACGGGGAGCAAAGGCCACCTGGACACATGCACTCCCCTTCTCCAAACCTCAGTTCTGCGTCTGCACCTTCTGAGGCTTGTGGGGCTGTATCAGAGAAGCAGGATCCCTTCAGTGCTATAAAGGGATTTGTTACGGTCTTTGATATTACATAATTCATTGTGTACACAGTCTCTGTAAAGCTGTTGTCTTCGTGTCCGATGCTGGAACATCTGAGAAGGGAAGACAGATGTAAAGTGGGGGACAGCAAGCTGGAACCCACAAGGATGGACTGAGACCCACGTGAGTGAATTCTCATTGCATTTGACCTTAACAGTGGAGATGTCCTGCAGGAGAAGCTGGCACTCTTTGTTGAAATGCTAAACACACATCTGGCCCAGCAGTCTGAGGGGCTGCAGGGGGATCCTGGGAAGGTGCAGCAGTGGCAGGTTGGGCAGCTGACTCATCAGTCAGCCCGCAGATACATGATAACTTGTATAAGCTACAAGAGTGCCTTCTCCGCCCTCCTGAGCGTTAAAAAAATGTTTTCGTATTAGTTATTTATTGCTGTGTAATGAATTATCTCCAAACCCAGTAAGGTAAAATAGCATATGTTTATTAGCTCACACAGTTTCTGTGGGTCAGAAATCTGACCGTGTCTTAGCTGGGTGGTTCTGGCTCAGGGTCTTTCATGAGGTTACAGTCAAGCTGTCAGCTGGGCCTGCAGTCAGCTGAAGGCTTGACAGGCTGGAGGGGCCGATTCCAAGACAGGTCGCTCACATGGCTGTTGGAAGGAGACCTCAGTTCCTTGACACATGGATCTCGTCACTGGGCTGCTTGAGTGTCCTCATGACATGTCAGCTTGTCTCCCCTGAAGTAAGTGATCCGGGAGAAAGCAAGGAAGAAGCCATGGTTTCTCTTATGACCTAATCTTGATCATCACAAACCATCATTTCTGCAAATCTCTTATTTGTTACACAGTTCAGCCCTATTCAGTGTGGGAAAGGACTATGTAAGAAAGAGCGTGAATACCAGGAAGTGGGGATCACTAAGGCCACCTTGGATGCTGGCTACCATGAGGGCCATCAGGTTGCTGCTGGGGTCAAGGGGTCCCAGGGAGCTTTACCAGGATGTCCTGCCTTCCCAACTAGCTGGAGAGCTCTTCAAATTCATGGACAGATGTTCACATCCTGACTTCTCCCCGTAGTCCCCAGCACCATGCTGCCTCAGCATCTCCACCTAGAAGTCCAAGAGGCATCTCAAACTAACATGCCCAACACTACGATTCTGAATTTCCCCCAGACCTTCTCCTCTCATGCCTTTCCCCATCTCAGGAATGGCAACTCCGTCCTTCCAGTTACTCAAGCCAAAACTTTGATATCATCATTGCGCTTCACTTTGTCTCATTTGCAGTGTCCAATCCATCAGCAATTCCTGTTAGCGCTACTTTCAAAATGTATTTCGGATCCCCCAACTCCTCACTAGCTCTGAAGCTGCACCCTGGCCTGAGCCCCATTCTCTCTTGCTTGGGTCACAGTACTTGCCTCCTGACTGGTGGCCCTGCTCCTGCTTCAATCCCATAGAGTCTGTCTCCACACAGCAGCCAGAGTGATCCTATTAAAAGCAGGTGGCTCCCTGATCAGACCCCTGCAATGGCTCCTGCTGACTCAGAGAAAAAGCCATTCTTCACAGTGGCCTGCAAGGCCCTGTCCCCTCTGTCCCCCAGCCCCTCCACCCCCATGCCTTCACTGACCTCATTCGTCTCCTCTGCTCCTTACCCCCTGCTCCAGTCACACTGGCCTCCCCCAGCTGCACTGGGCTACTCCACACGCCAGGCTCACCCCACCTTATCGCCTCTGCTGTTCGCTCCCTCTGGAACCCCCTCCTTCAGAAACATCCAGGGTTCACTGCCTCATATCTTCAGGCTTCATCTCAAACACCACCTTCTTACTCCTTTATTTAACCCAACAACTCTCACAACTCCTGCACGCTCTGATTTATTTTCTTCCACTGCACTTCACAGTTCCCATCAATTACATAACCTACTTGTTTATTTGTTCGCTGTTTCCCTCTCTGGAATGTAAACTCAACGAGGGCTGGGATTGTTGTCTGTTTTGTTCATTCTTGTGTCTCCAGAGCCCCAGAGTGGTGGTTGGCAGGTACTCAGAAAGCGCTTATTGAATGACCAGCCGGTCCTCAATTTTTGAAAGACTAAATGAAGTGTGACAATGGATCACGTACTACTTACCAGCTATTTGGCATTAAATGAGTCACCTCCCTTCTCTGAGCCTAGGTTCTACGTGACCAGACAGAGGCCATCGTCAAGGATATGGCTGTTACCAGGCTCGGGCTGTCTGGAGTTCTAGCTGCAGTGCTAGCTGCCACTTGCCATTCTGAGACCTTGGGCAGGCCACACATCTTCCCAGAGAGGAAGGTGCCTTGTCCTGCATGCTTCAACTCTTTCTGCCCTGGTCATGGGACAACTGCGCATCCTAGGCCCTTGGCTTCTGGGATTTTCCAGAACCTGGATCAAGATCTGTTATGACTGCCGGTATTTTTCCACAGTTAAAAAAACCAGTCCCTCTGAGTTCTGCCCCTGAGAGTCAGGGAAAGCTGAGAAAAGGCTCACAGGGTTGGCCTTGTCCACTGTCTCTGTCAAGAGAGGAAGGAACTCAGAGGATGCTTCACCTTGTATGACTGTAGCTCATGTGCGACAGCCCCATCACCCACACACAAACTTATAGAAACCATTCTTTAAATCTGGAGACATCTTAGAGATAACTTTGTCCAGAGGCTGCAAAGCGGCAGCCAAGTTCCAAATGAGACTCAGGACCAGATTGTTGTGTTTTGCCTGTACCCCATTTGGAAAACAACCGAATTTGAATGTCTGTGGACAGTTTGGGGAAGTCAAGGTCTGCAGACCCCAGCACTCCCTATTGCCTCACACCAGTCAGATTCATATATTTGCTTTGTTTGCCTGAAACCCTGAGTGGTCCATCTGCACACTTCTCTGTGAGAAGCTGACCCCTTGGAAAATCATCTCAGGTTCAGCTACCAGGATCGTTGTTGTTGTTTTTTATAATACTGTTAAAATAACTGTCACTTATTGCTATTACTTTTTTAAAATTAGTTTCAGATGTACAAAGCAATGTAAAGCCCTCATAAAGTGATAATCCACCCCCAAAGCTACTACCCCTCTGACATCTTATATAGCTGTTACAATACCATCGACTATCTTCCCTATGTTGTGCTCCACATCCCGTGGCTATATATTCCCATATATTTAGTTATAGTTGACATTCAGTATTATTCTACTTCAGCTTCAGGTGTATAGCACATTGGTCAGGCATCTACAGTCTATGATGTGAGCTCCCTGATAAGTCCAGTGCCCATCTGGCACCTTACATGATCTTCACAACATGGTTGATTATATTCCCATACTGTATTAACTATTAATTTGTATTTCTTAATGCCTTCACCTTTTTCACACTGCCCCCAACCCCATTCCCATCCATCACCCTGATAGATCTAGCACCTATCTGGCACCATACCTAGTTATTACAATATTATTGACTATATTCCTTATGTTATACCCTACATCCTCATGACTACTGTGTAACAACCAATTTGTTCTTCTTAATGTCTTCCCCTTTCACCCATCCTTAACCCCCCTCCCATCTTAAAAAAGTCCCTCTAAGAGTCCTTGTAATACTGGTTTGGTGGTGATGAACTCCTTCGGCTTTTTCTTGTCTGGGAAGCTCTGCATCTGTCCTTCAATTCTAAATGACAGCCTTGCTGGGTAGAGTAATCTTGGTTGTATGTCATTGCTTTTTATCACTTGGAATATTTCCTGCCACTCCCTTCTTGCCCGCAAAGTTTCTGTTGAGAAATCAGCTGACAGTTTTATGGGGGCTTCCTTGTCGGTAACTAACTGCTTTTCTCTTGCTGCTTTTAAGATTCTTTCTTTGTATTTAATCTTTGGCATTTTAATCATGCTGTGTCTTGGTGTTGGCCTCTTTGGGTTTATCTTGTTTGGGACTCTCTGTGCTTCCTGGACTTGTATGTCCATTTCCTTCACCAGGTTAGGGAAGTTTTCTGTCATTATTTCTTCAAAAAGGTTTTCAATTTCTTGCTCTTTCTCTTCTCTTCTGGTATCCCTATAATGCAAATGTTGGTACGTTTGATATTGTCCCAGAAGCCCCTTAAATGCTCCTCATTTTTTGGATACTTTTTTCTTTTTGCTGTTCTGTTTGGGTGTTTTCTGCTACCTTATCTTCTATATCGCTGGTTGGATTCTCTGTTTCATCTACTCTACTGTTGATTCTCTGTAATATATTCTTCATTTCCATTATTGTATCCTTTATTTCTGACTGGTTCTTTTTTACAGTTTCCATCTCCATTTTTATGAGATCATTGAGCATTCTTTTTTTTATTTTTTATTTTAAGATTTTTATTGGGGAATTGGGGGAAGGGGAACAGACAAGTTGCTGTCCTTTTGTTCTTCAGTCTAGTTGTGGAAGATGTTGCTTCACTAGCCCAAGTTGGCACCATCATTGCGCTCTTCCCGGGTGAGGCACATCAGTCGCTGGCTTCTGGACGGCTGCTCACAGCGGTTGCTGGCCGCTCACACTGGCTGCTGGCTACACACGGTAGCCCATGGCAACCCACTGCAGCAGGGGCTGCAGCCTATGCCGTCGCCGGCGACTCACGGCAGCCCAGCTCCAGGTTGAGCTGTTGTTCAGCATCTTAGCTGTAGAGGGCAGTGTCACTGGCCCTTATAAGTGGGATCCGAACCGGTGCCCTCTGGCATCCCAAGCCAGTTCTTAACCAATGCGCTACTCGGCTGGCCCTCATTGAGCATTCTTATAACCAGTTTTTGGAGCTGAGTCTGATAGATTGCTTATTTCCATTTCACTTAGTTCTTTTTCTGGAGTTTTGTTCTGTTCTTTCATTTGGGACATGTTTCTTCTTCAAAGAAACATGTGTTTGTTTCTATGTATTAAGTAGGGCTGCTATGTCTTCCAGTCTTAGTAGAGTGGCCTTATGTAGTAGGTGTGCTGTGGGGTTCAGTGGCGCAGTCTTTCTGATCACCTGAGCCACACTCTCCAGGTGTGTCCCTTGTGTGGGTTGTGTGTGCCCTCCTCTTATAGTTGAGCCTTGGTTGATAATTGCACCTCAATGGGAGGGACAGACTCTTGGGCTCAGTGGTTGTGAGGACTGGCCTTGACTACAGTGGAAGAGTTGTTGTGCAGGGACTGATCCTAGAGAGCAGGATCTGCCTCAGCAGGACTCTGGAGCCTGCACAATCTGCCCCTTGGGTGTGTCATACGTGGAGACAGCTGGGTGAAGCTCCAGCTCATTTTGAAGCTGGCCACTGGGGGCACCAACCCCGGGACCACTTTGGTGGGGATCCGCAGTAGGTCTACTAGAGCCACAGCCTGTGTCCTGCTCAAGGCCACCTAGCAGGAGCCAGAAAGAAATCTGCTAATGGCTGCCACCCATGCTGTGCTTAGAAGTGCCTTGAGAGGTCAAGCCGTGAACCAAGACCGGCTGCCACTAGTGCCGTGCCAAACGCTGCTCAGTCAGAGGTACAGGACATGCTCAAGCCAGATGCTGCTTCTCTGGGTTCCGTGAACCTTTGAGAGATCCTAGAAAAGTCTGCATCTTGAGCCAAGGCAGGTGGTCTGCATGAAAAAGCCACTGAAAGCAGCCTGGGTGTGCCCAAAAGTTGGGCGGGGCCAGGTCTCAAATCTCCAGGGCATGGCGAACCAACAGTGGAGACTCAGAAATGGCAGCTGCCTGTGTTCGCCGCCTGGCAGCCACCAGAAAGGGGGAGAGCTCAACAAAGAAACAATGGCTTCGGCCAGCTCCTCTGTCCAGGATAAGCTGCCTCTCTAGCCCTCATCCCAAGCCAGACAACTCAATTTTCCACCATTTGTCCCTGCCACCTTTCCAGCTGCTGCCCCAGTGCTGGAGCTCAGAGCGAGTGATTCCACTGGTGGGTAAGTCCACATGCAGCCCCTTTAAGAGGAGCACCTGGGAGTGCAGCTGCACTGTCTTACTCAATCACAATCTCCACTGGTTTTCACAACCAAAAATTATGGGGACTTCTCTCCCCAGCACTGGGCTGCGGTGGGGCTGGAATCTCTTGTTCCTTTAGGGGATGGAGACGGACCCCCACAGCCAAAATTGCCCTCCTGATATTTAATGGTCACACGCGGGTGTGGGACCAGCCTGTGCTGTGTCTCCGATCTTCCTACCAGTCTGGAGGTGACTTCCTCTGTGCATCCTTAGTTGAAAGGCTTCAGTTCAGCTTGATTTTAGACGATTCTCAATAACGGTTGTTTTGTAGATTTGTTGTAATTTTGATGTGGTTGTGAGAGAAGGTAAACACAGTTTTTACCTACTGTGCCATCTTGGTTGTCTCCTACCAGGATCATTTTGATTCCTATTCAGCCAGCACTTAGGAACAGAGTAGCCTCTATCATTTAAAACCATTGAGTTGTCCCCAGACCCCTTCCCTTTGATTCTTGATCTTCCCTCCTATTTTATTTTTAAGATTTTTATTGGGGAATTGGGGGAAGGGGAACAGACAAGTTGCTGTCCTTTTGTTCTTCAGTCTAGTTGTGGAGGACGTTGCTTCACTGGCCCAAGTTGGCACCATCATTGCGCTCTTCCCGGGCAAGGCAGATCAGTTGCCGGCTTCTGGACAGCCGCTCACTGCGGCTGCTGGCCGCTCACGCTGGCTGCTGGCTACACACAGTAGCCCATGGCAACCCACTGCAGCAGGGGCTGCAGCCTACGCCATCGCTGGCGACTCACAGCAGCCCAGCTCCAGGTTGAGCTGTTGTTCAGCATCTTAGCTGTAGAGGGCAGTGTCACTGGCCCTCATATGTGGGATCCAAACCGGGGCCCTCTGGTGTCCCAAGCCAGTTCTTAACCATCGTGCCACTCAGCTGGCCCAGCATTGATTTCT